TAAGGACTTTGGTTTTGGATATAAATATTAGTCTATTAGATATCCAAATGAAGATGTCACATAAGGAGGTAAATATATTCTTTTCTATGTCTTGGTATAGGGTACATGTGCTTACCAGAGAGCGAGCAAGGAAAAGTGAAAAACTCACACCCTTCCACCCCCCGGGGGTAATGTCCCTGCTGCAATCCCTTCTTCTTCAGTTACTTCTTGGGATTTTGGACATGCGTGCACGTACACACACACACACACACACACACACACACACACACACAGTTACTATCAAGACACCCGGGTTCAGGACTTAAACCCCACAGCCATGTAGGATCCAACCATCTTAACCTCTAAGCCACCTGCTGGCCCTAATCTGATATTCTTATGATTAGATGACATCACCAAAATGCATATGAAAAGAGGAAGAAAGAAGCCCCCAGCTGGCTATGGTACATGTCTATGTTTTATTAAAATTCAAGGAAATAAAGATTTGCCAGCAGCAAAAGAGAAAGGACCAGCCAATAAAATCAGGCAAGTACAGTTGAAGTGTTTCAAGGTTAAATATTGACTAGATTTAACAATGTGGAAATCTTAGTGCTCTTTACTAACAGGAGTAGTGAAGACAAACCTAATACTAATCTTGGAAAAGCCACACACTATGGGTATAACCTGGAGACCATAGCTTCCTTCACCGTGCACTCCTGCACAAAATGTTTAGCCTGAAACTTACAGTAATAAGAACTTTAGGTCTAACTTCACTTTATAGGAAGTTCGAAGCAATAATTAAATTAGTGGTACCACAAAGAATACCCAAAAGGCAACAGGCTGGTCTTTTCATAAAGTGATAATCCTGACTGAATCCTTTGTGGTAGGGAGCTATAAAAAAAAGTTGGAGGGGGGGGAACAGCTCTGTAGTGTAGCCCTATACACTGGGAAGTGGATCCCCATGGACAACTATGGTTCAAGTCCTGGCCCAGGTGACTTGACAAACATGCCAGGTGCATGTGTACCCATAATCCTGAGAGGAGAGAAATGGAAGAAAGACTATGGTGACACCAAACCCCTAATCTGGAAGTGTATTTCCCTTTGGCAGTGGGGGAGAAAAGCATTTTTTTTTTTTTTTTGGCAAAAATGGAAAACTCATTAAATGGACTTTAAATTAGGGAAGTATCTTGTTTTTTGAGATTTTTGCTGTAGGGCACGTGCACTCAACTGAGACAGAGTGAAAAATCACCCCACAGAGGGACGGCCATGTCAAACCCTTCTCCATTCTCTTGGGATTCTGGGCACACATGCACATGTGCCCAGCGTGATTTTAAAGCCACTGGGTCCAGGACTTGGACCAGTCGGCCATGTGAGTTCACTGCCTTAATTCCTATGCTACCTGCTGGACCCAGGAAATTATCTTAGACCCTTCTCCTCCCCGGATCTTGGACAGGCATGTACACATGCCCAGCATGTCTCAAGCCATTGGGTCTAGGACTCAAACCGTGGTCAACAGTGTGGGAGTTCAGTGAGGTAACTGCTATGCTAATTGCTGGCCCCCAAAATCACATGATTCTTAGGAAATGCATGTTTAAGTACTGTTGTGTCTATAACTTTTTTTCAAAATTTGAAAAAAATACATAAAAAGCAAGTATGGCAAGATACTAACTTTAATTTAAATGATGATTCTTTAAACTTTCTTATTTGAATTTTTTTCCTAATAAAACAAGTTGATAAAATAAAAGGGGGCAATTATGGATAAATTGAAGGCTGTTTTAAAATTCTTGAGCTTTGCTACAAAGGGGAGCAGTAAAAGAGTACAGCTGTAAGAGAATATAGGACCCAAATATTTTAAACATGTTTATTATGTCTATGGGAATGATCTAGTATACAGAAAGAAAATGGATGCAGGACAGAGGTGAGACCTGCTGGAGCTGTGTCTCTAAATGAGTCATGGATTGGGATCTTGTTTCTTACCTAGGGCAAATACAGAACTACTAGAGGCTCTGGATGCACAGACCAGGACAATCAGGGCACCCTTGGCAGATTATTCATTTATTAATACCAGTCGTATAATGTGAAGGGAGTGAAAAGCACTTACATGAGGCAAAGACGATCAATTTCCAACCCTAAGCTGCTTGGATCACATAGAGAACATATTAATAAGCAGATTCCAACAGTCGTCCTGCCCAATCATTTTTTTTGGGGGGGAGAGCTTTTTGCTATAGGGTGCTTGCGCTCGCCAGAGACAGACAGACAGACAGACAGAAAGCGAGAAATCACCCCCCAGGGGGGATGGCCACTCCGCAATCCCTTCTCCTCCATTCTCCTCTCTGGATCTTGGGCACACATGCACACGCGCCTGGCCTGAGTTTAAGCCACCAGGTCCGGGACTCGAACCACGGTTGACTACGTGAGAGTCCAGCGACATAGCTATTACGCTAACTGCTGGTCTCCCTCCCTTCCAATCTTTAATAGCCACCTCTAGGGTGGAGCCTGAGACTATTTTTTAAAGCTCTCCAAGTTAACACTGCTGATGTAATGTCTGGAAATTATTCTCCTTAGGTTCATGTTTGGGTCCCACCACAGGCCAAAGATAGGTTTCATATTTTAAGCCTCTAATATTTTTGTTTTTCTCAGATTGCTTGTCTTTCCTCAAAAATATAAAGAATTCTACCTATGTACTTTATTAATCAAAAATTTACTGAATGCATTATAGTTAATAACAGTACACTATCAGAACTGCCTTTTAATTAAAAAAAAAATTAAGATGACCAGAAACATAATTCTATAGGTAACTTATATACTACAAGCTATTTCAGAGATCTTGGGGAATTCACAATCTCTAGGCAACTAATCTTATTGAGAACATTTGCGATTAGTATTAGGGCTAATCAACTACTGGGTCCAAATAATTATATTGATAAACAGAATCTAAGAACTTGGGCATGTTTTCCAGAATGATGACCTCAGTTTAGCCCTAAAGCTAGGACTTTTTTCAGGTGATGCAAAGGAATACACTATGGAAGGAAAGTTTTTTTTTTAACCAAAGTTGGGTCCAGAATTTAAACCCTATTTGTGGCTTGATTCAGATTGGCAACATTTACTTATATCTTATCCTCCAAGTGTAAAATGAACTTTACAAATTTAAATCTATGTGAAAATTTACACCTGCTCATTTAACAAAAGAATGTTCAGTTTGCCTTTACTGTGGGATTAAGGGATAAAAATGCTTTTATATTCTACTCTCACACCTCCATATTTTAATTTGTGTTATTTTCAATGTTCATTTTTTTCTTCCATGAGAGAGAGAGACAAGAACCTTCAATCAGTCTCAGAATATTAACCCCCTGCCCTCTCTGCCCCAACTTTTCCAGCGAGGCAGGGTGATGCACAATGTGCCTGTCATGCTGACTGGGAAAACAAAATGGATTATGGATCTAGCATCACTTGTGCAGTCCATTACTGTTGAGTGACCAAGTCAGCCTATTTACTTCTTGAATATTTTCTATCCGTAGTTGGTTGGATCTATGGAAGTGGAACCCATAGAAATGGCAGGGTTGAATATTCTTCCATTTCTTCCCTCCTAACCTTTATGCTAATGTTGCCATGCATTGTCTTAAAATATCACCCTGCTGAAACCAGCAGGTGGCATGGTTGTTAAGGTGCTAGACTCCCACATGGCCAACTGTAATTTGGGTCACAGAACTGGGGACTTGCTTTTCTTATTTTCCTTCTCTCTCTCTCTCGTCAAATTTTTAAAAAATAAATAATAAATAATTTATTTTTAAATAGACACAATAGCCTTGAAAAGTAACTAACAAAAAAAAAAAAAAGAAAAAGAAAAAAGAAAGAAAACAAGGTTATCCTATGGCTTGTGGCTGAGGACTGTTTTTTTTTCCTGGGGACATCTGGCAATGTCTGAAGACACTCTGGTTGTCACAAGTGGGGGCGTGTAGGGGAGGATATGTTACTGGCACATGTTATTGGTAGATGGCAAAGATGATGCTAAACATCCTACAATACACAAGAACAGCTCCCCAACAAAGAATGGAAGAATGATCCTGCCTAAATTGCAAACAGGGCTGAGGATGAAAAACTCTGCACTAAAAGCTGACAGAATTAGCCATCTTATGGCCGCCCTGTGTTTCTTAAACACTAAAAGGGCATATGAATTGCGCAGGGAATTTGAATGCCCTACATACCTTTTGGGGCTTGTTTTAAACAAAGAATTAGTGAAATGTAATTACTAAAGTTACAAGGAACAAAATCTTTTTCACTAATTAGGTAAATTATAAATTTAGAAATATCCCAGTATGTTTAGATTAGCTAAATTGGTGAAAATATGCTGTTAGAATTCAATAAAATAATTAACAAGCATTATTTTTGCTCACTTCATTGTAAGAAAGCTATGTTTGGAAGCCATATATCTATAAAGCAGTTATATTTGCTCAATCACCCTTTCTCATTTCAAGTCCAAAAAAAAAGGGGGGGGGGGAATCCTACTAATATCGTTCAGTTGTAAAATTTCTCCAACTCCTAGGGCCACCAGGTGGCATGGTGGTTAAGGTGGTGGATTTCCCCCTGGCCGAAATGGTTTGGGTCCTGGACCTGGTAGCTTGACCATCATATCGGACACATGTGTGCCAACCCCAAGAAGAGAATAGAAAAGGGATTGCAGCTTTGCCAGCCCCTGGGGTGAAGGGTGGTGAAAAATCCCAACCCCCCTTTAGCAATTGCACGTACCCTATGACCAAAGAATAACTTAAAAAAAAAAAAAAAGTCTGCAGCTGTTAAAACTAATTACATAACATTCTATCGTGCAGCAAGTTTCAGAAGCAATTTTATAATTACAAATGATAAAAGAAATTCATAAAAACTACAGGAGAACTGGAACTCAAGTTTTGAAAGCAACACTCAAATCTTACCAGAAAATTAACTTCACTGATTCCTAGAAAATGCTTATGTTTAAAACACTGGCTTTATTCAAATACAACCCACCTGTACATTAAAAAACAAGCAGAACAGAAGTAAATGTTTTATTCTTCCAACTAAATTCCAGTACTACAAGGGTGGTAAAACAATGATACACTGGAAAAAATTGCGGCAATAAACATTTGTTAAAATGACTGATAGAATAAATAAAACTACCAAAAAAAATCATATAAACCCATTCTGAAACCCCAATTAAGTCCTGGAATACAGAAATGCCCTCCTCTTTCACTATTTCACAGGAAGCACTGTAGGCTATTTGCTTAATATTGTCCTGGGATTACACTCTAAATTATTAATAACCAGTTACAGCTTGGTTGTAGTGCACAATTAAAATCACACTAACTTCATCTTAAGTGTCATTCTACAGTTTTATTTACACAACCAGTGAAGGGCATGTTCTAGAATACCAGCTTTAATCCTTTTCAAACATATTAATATAAGAAGCCAAATTGTAATGATACAGCAAAATGAGGCCACTGGTATTAATACAGGTAGCAAAGGTCCACATCCAGGTGGTACTGACATCAGGGAAATTTCCAAAACCAGTTGCTGCTGCCTCAGAGTGGTTGTCACTGACGAAAGCTTGAAATAACCTGTATTCACGGGGGGATACTGGCATTGTTGCTTGTCATTATTGGGACCTCTTGCAACAACTCAACAAGAAACAAGGCAGCTCATAAATGCAGAAAACGTGATTCATGAAACATCTAAAGGGGGAGAAAAGGAAAATTAATGCAAAGTATGGATCAAAAATGAAACATATTTCAGATCTTCATTCTCAATATATTGGCCCTAAGTATTTAAGAGACCAAAAGTAAGCCTTGCAAAGTTATGCCTCTATTTCATCCAGGCTTTTTTCTCCATGATTTTCTGTTAAAAATCGCTTCTTGACATGTTCTCTAAAAGATGATCTTGTTCCATCTTGTAACTTCAGAAGTGAAATACTTACAACTAGCAGGCTGTTCTCCATATCGTCGCATTATCTGATCATGTGTAAACTTGACAAATGCATCATATTGTTCTATAAATAAAAGCACATGTTAATTATACAATTTGTGAAATGCCCTCTAGCATTTCAGAGTCAGATCAACTCTGAAAAGTATAACATGTATAAAAAATACTAAATTGATTACTTTATACACTTCGGTATTAGTCCATATCACATAACTTGATATACTGGCTGGGTGAGATTTTTTACTCATTTCCTAATAATTAAAAGGTTTGTAATAAAAAGACACAGTAAACTTTCAAAGTAGAAAAATAAGTGGTCTATGAATAGCAAGTTACTGCAATGGAAAGAGGAAAACAAGATTAACAGGAATGTCTACCTGTATCCCAATTCATTTGCCTGTTAAAAACTTCAGAATCAAAGCTTACAAAATCGGTGAATTAAAATCAGAAAAACATTCTGATTAAGTTACCAAATGCAAAAAAAAAAAAAAAAGGCTACTTACTACAGTTAAATAACAAATTTTACTGAATTCTTAAAATAATTAAAACAAGACTGGGGGGGCTTTACTATCTAAAACAATGTCCCAGACAATTAGATATTGCAAATGTGTAAGTTGCTGGCAAAGTTACTGTGAAAGACACAAATTCCTAAAATTCACAACCAAATTAGGTTTAACAGCTAAAGTTAATTTTTAGCACACAGATCTACTTCAAAAGAGAAATCTAGTTCACTAACACTGCTGCTGATCTACAGGGCTAGCAAATAACTATTTCATGAGGTCATTAAAGTGGGTCGTGAATTATAAGGTTCATTTCCTTTCTTCAAATCATATTCTCTGGTTCTTTCAAAACATCCTGTACCAGTATATAGAAAAGGTTATTTAATTGATATAAAGCATACCTGGGAAATAATAATTCATGTCTTAGAATGAGTTTCTAGGAACCTCTAAAATAAACTTATCTCATACCTGCAAGTTTTGTGTTCAATATTTCTTCATACTCTTCTCGAACTTTCTCTTCACGCTCTTTCAACAAACGTTCACAGATCATCCCAACCTGCCGTAGAGTAAATAAGGGCTGTTCTTTTTTTAATGGTGAGGATGTTGCAGATGAAGTCCCTATGAAACAACAAAACAGTACCCGATTTAGAGCCATAATATAAAGCATCTTCTAGCTGAAGAGGTTTCATTTGGATCTTTTCAACGTTGACAAAAAAGCCTTTTCAAATCAGCCTTTAGCACAGGATTTCCCAAGCAGTCTTTAAACAGGCCAAAAATAATTTCATTAGCTGTGACTCTGTTTGAAAAAGCACAGCAAGGGGGAAAGTATCTAAAGATGAGTGGTGAAAACTTTAAAACAAAACTTAAAACATGACAATGATGGGTGTCATTACAAAACTTACCTACATTCTGGTAAATGCCATACCATAAAGTGTTTTAGAGACTAATTTACAAACTTTACTACAATTGAAATAAAGAACATCTCTGGTCTAAAACTTACTCTTATTTAGTTCTAGATTAACAAGGATTATGTTTTTTAAAAGATAGTGTTAACACTTTCAAACCGATGCCATAAATATCTCAGCAGCCCAAAAACTGGGGATTATCCCACCCACCATTTTACTATGATACTCCCACTTTTCAAACCCTTAATTTAGAGGGGTTTTCCTTCATCAAAAAAAGAAAATAGGACCAGCTTTGTGGTATAGCAGTTCGGTAGACGTTGGATCCCACAGGGCCACCACAGTTGAACTCTCTGGCCCAGTCAGCCTGCAACATAATGGGCACACACACAAGTGCCCAAGATCTGACAGACTGTGATCACAAAGTGGCCAGTCCCGGTGGAGAGTGCTCCTTCTTATCCTTTCCTCTCCCTCTCTCCCACATGCACACCCACATAGTCTATGTAGATATAGTTTAGAGTTCTTAAAGGTTAGAGTTCTAACAGCCACTTGGCATTATATCTAACAGCCACTTGGCATTATCAAATAGTGAGATATTTCATAAAACAGATTTCTTCAAAAATGCATTTCTCTTCAAGTATCACTTACGGGACTTTGATCTTCCAAGAACATCATTCCCAGCTTAATAGGAACATCTGAAGTTAATTTTTTTGAGAACTCAAGAGTTATGCTTACTGTCCATTATAACACCATGGAAAGTATTTTACAGACATACTGAAAGTATTTTATATACATATATCCATTTACTATCAACTTCTTCATCTTGCTCTGGGTTATCTCCTCTAGCACCTCCCCCCCAAACACACATACACACCCCTTTCTCTCCAATTCCTCCTGAACACCTGCATAGCTGGGAACTGTTAACTATGCTTATTATGTGTCTATCCATGAATGAACTACACCAGCTTTAGTCCATAATTACTAAGGTTATCTTATCTTCAAATTTCCAGCTTTGTTAGTTAAGACTGCCACAGTTAATCTCCAAAGAAATAAACTAGTGAAATGATAATCTTGGTTACTTGCTAATATTCTCTAACTTTATTTCCCTCTAATAAGTTTCATCCACTCATACCTGACCCTTAAAATCATGATGATTACACAGTATTTCAATTTGAACAATTTCATGTTTTCGAACATAATTTCATCAAACTGTTCTATGGCCTTTGAATGTTTTTCTTTCTTTGCTTTTTTGTTAGTTTTGTCAAATTTTCCTGTCCTGCTGGGAGAAAGGGAGAAATAGAAGGCAAGTGCTGCCATAAGGAAAATTATTTTTGAGAGCTTTACTGAAAGTAAGAGCTACTTTTGTTGGCTCTTCTTCAGCAAGAACTTCAACTTTCCCTTCAAACAACTTCTATTTTTCTGCTCTTTAAAAACACTCATAAGATAAAAAAAATCTACCTTAGGAATCTACCCCAACCAGAAAATTGTGTAAAGGATCTGTACATGGATATTTCTATCAATGCTTTAAAGTAACCATCTAACAGTAATGAATGGCTATGTATGGGAAATACAGAAAAAAGCCCAGTGTTCAGCAATGGCAAAGTACTTGTTGGAAACAACAACAAAAAACATGTATCGTTTCTTTTTTTTAATTGAAGGTACAACTCATAGTACTTTTAAGATGTCCATTTAGGGGGATATATATGCAGGTGGTTGTCTGTGGCTAGTGAAATCCAAGTAGTGATTACTTATTTTGTATCATATCATATTTTTACAATATCATGCATTATTTATCTGAGGGGGGTCTTCACAATGCATGTAGAAATGCGTATTATGAAAAAACTAAGTGGAGACTTTAAACTTCTTTGGATCAAAATAAACTGTATTTTAATTCCATTTTCCCACAAACTTTGTGAACACCTCAGATAAATGTTTTAAAAATCAGAGCGTGAGGGGCCAGCAGGTGGTGTGGTAGTTAAAGGCGGCTGGACTCCCACATGGTTCGAGCCCCAGACCTAACAGCTTACTTTCTCACTTTCCTTCTCTCTCTGTCTCTCTCTGGTCAACTTCAAAAAAAAATTAAAAAGAAAAAATTAAAAATGACAATGAATAAAATTAAGCAATTTAAAAAAAAATCAACGGGTAAGAGAAAAGCTTAATGACTAAAAGTAATTTGATTACACTCCTCCCACAATGAGTAACATTGATTCCCTTTATGAAGATTATTTATACCTGGTGAAGCTGGTCCACTGAGGAGAAATGCATGTGGCTGTGCATCAGAAGTACAACATGGATCTGTCTGTTGGAAACTAGTTTCTAAATGTCTTCTCTTCTGCATGCGTTTATACTCTTGTTTTATATTGTATAGAATTTGTTCTGAAAGAGAAAAAGTTAAGAAAAAAAAAAAGAGAAAAAGTTAAAGTTAGGCAAGATAAAAACTTTCAAGTTAAAAAAAAAACAGGTTGGTTTTTGAACAATGATTTAGTAGAATCAATCTACTCAAAATATTTCCTTCAGATAATATTCAGAAAACTCACATTCTGGGAGAAATTTGTTTTACCACAAATGAGAGCACTCACTCAGAAAGAGCACATATATACCACCTGGAAATTCAGCTTTTTAACAGGATCATTTTGAGTACTGACTAGCAAAAAAACAGATTTATGTGTTCTTATTCAAAAGAACAGTCAAGAAGAATATGAACTAAAACATGTATTTTTTCCAGATTCTTAAAACTCAAAGTTCATTTATTCATCACACATACTTATCACACAAACTCACAGGCTTTTTCAAGTTCATGAATAATTAGAAAGGCAGAGGATTATGTATATTCAGACACACACCAGTGAGACCTGACAGTAGTTTAACAAAACAAAGTAGATGGGAACTAAAAGGTCATATACATTAAAGGATCATTGTCATTAATATTAATCTCAAAACAACTCAAGAATATAATAGTACTAATAGCAAAGTATTCTTAATCTTGGGTGAACATTTGTATATAACAGGTCCTCAATATATACGAACCTTTATACCACTGTGGAATTACCTTGAACCACAACCACTGAAACAGGAGACTGTCCAGCTTATGTTGGGTTGTCAGAAAAGCCATGATGCACTTTTACAAAGAAAAATATGTCAGGGCTTTTCTGACAAACCAATATATATTCTCTAGGCCACTATGATTCACTTTAGAAGATTTCTAATTCAAAATAGTTATCACTTGTTAGCTCTAGAAAACCCCTGCCCAAGGCTTCTCACTTCCCTCCTGACTTTCTCACTACCCAACACAGCTTCCAAATTAATAGGTAATATTTATAAAACTACATCCCAAGTTTATTAATACCAATCCAAAAAAAGAGTAAATAAAAATGAAATGGTGGCAACTAAGTGGAAATAAAAAAGATCTCAAAAATACAGCAATATAATTTGAGTCTAAGTGAGGTAGTCATTTAAGAACTGAAAACTAAATCAACTAAAAAAAAAAAGTAACAAATCATCTTCCACAATGATTTTAAATTATTTAACCATTTTACATTCCAACCAGCAGAGTATTAAATAGAGTTCCAGCTGCTCTACATCCTTGCCAACACTTGATATTGTCACTTAAAGAGCTGAAGAATTCTGACTGTTATTGGCTGCACTGCTTTTTACATCTAATATGATACAATTATGTCATCTAAGCCACACTGTGCCCTCAAATGCTCTAATACTGGTAACGTGATCAGCAATGTTATGCAGAGAATGGTCCAATTTAACTTGGCTAAGATCTAGAAAGCGCAAGAACCAAACAGCTAACTGCAAGCCTCAAGCTCACTTCACTTCAGCTCATAGTATAAAAAGTTTTGAAGCTTTAGATAATTAAAAAATTTCCCCGGATTCAATATTCTACTACTCACATTACAATCCTCAATTCCATACCAGCTGGATAAAGGTCTTCCTTCCATACGTAAGAAAACTATTTATGTCTACTTAGTCTTAAAATACTTAAATATATAACCATCTCTTCCAAGACTAGCAAGTAACCTTTTACTCCAAGTACAGTTAACACCTGACATTGTGTTGCCAACAAATGACAGTCCATTAGAGAAAAAAAAAGTCAGGCTAGGCCACAATGACATGCAATACTAAGGCAGTGTTCCACAGGTTGAGACCACACAGGAAGCCAGAGTTTGACTCCCAGTCCAATTAAAAGGCCAGGGGTGGTGGTATGCACCTATAATCTCACAATCTGAGAGGCTCAGGTAGGAGAACTGTGAGCTTGAGAGACCCTTTCTAAAAAGAGCTGCTATGTCAACATGTACAGAGTTTCAGCTGGGGGGCCAAGGTGGGATTTCAACAAGACCCTGTCTTTTAAAAAAATATTTTAAAATTTATGAGCCATGGGGCCAGTAGATGGCATAGTGGTAAAGATGCTGGACTCCTACGTGGCAGACTGCATGCAGTTCAAGTCCTGGACTTGGCAGCTTGCTCTCTCTCTCTTTCC